TATTAGAATGTGAATTCACCTTGCTTCACAGTTTCTTCATCTATAAAAAGAAGAGTTTATTGTCATTAGAAAAGTGCTTTTTTAGTGAAAAAATGCTACAAAAATGTGAGCTAAAACTGGGTTATTATGTAAATTCATTGTGCAATCTAATCCCCAGAATGAATTAATAATGCTTTATTTCCAATTTATCCTCTATATGTTGCTTTTTTATACATAGTTATTTTCATATTTTCTCCTCTATTAGACTAGAAGTACCATGAGGGCATGGATGGTCTTTTCCTTTCTTTGAATCCCCAGCACTTGGCACATAGTAGGTGGTTAATAAATAATGAAATGATTTTTTAAAATGGTCTCCTTTTCTTAGTTGCTACGTTTTCGGTTTGTTTATTTGTTTGTAATTCTTCTATATCTGTCCAGTTATATGATGTGAACAAATGATACTGGGACATGAAATATCAGCAATGTTATCATGATGAATATGAAATGAAGAGTAATATTACTGGAATAAAAGAGCACCCAGTCTGAAATGAGAGGGACATCATAATGTAATGGAAAGAAAGCTTTAAATTGGAGTCAGAGGCCCTGGTTGGAATCTCGTCTTTCCTACATGCTAGGTATGTGAGTGAGTGAGTAAGTGAGTGACAATGTACTTATTAATCACTAGTTATGTACTAAAGTCTGGGGATAAAAATGGAAATAGGTCAGCCTCTACCTTCAAGAAGTTTACATTCTAATGAGGAAAGACAATACAAAGGAGTATGATTTGGATTAGCTGTGAGAGAAATGGTTATTTCTCTCATATTAATAACCAATTACTAATTGAGATTTAAGATTATTTTCTATTTCCACATTCAGAAATAAAGCCCTATAGGTTATACAGACCATCTTATATTGGTGGAATTGTTACCTCAACCAATTAGACACATAATCTAAACAAGGTGAATCTTGGCTCATTGTGTTCTACATGGACTGGTCTGGGGTGGGGGAGGGTAGAAGGGAAGGCTAGATTGCTTTGTCTAGATTGCCTGAGGCTGTGGGTGGTCTGGGAGTAAGAGTGACATAATGAAATTGCTGTGATAATCTGGAATGTGTATTTTAGTCCAGGAAGGCACATGGATGGTGAGTGGAAAAATAGGGTAGGCCATAACTGGGTCATCTACAGAGAAATGGTTGGGCTGATTTGATTGTATTTCTCAGAATAAGAAGTGGTGAAAAAGATGAGGACCTCCTGATCTCACAGAGTTTAGAGCTGAATGACTTATCTCTTGCTGATTTTGGTCTTTTGGAGGACTGGTTGGGAGGGTGGGGTAATAGGGTGTAAAGTGACCAAATGAGGACTAACCTTCAGAGCTAGAGGAGATTAATTTCTTCTAGGAACAGGATCTACAGCATAGTTTGCAGAGAAGAATAGTATTAAGGAGGATTCTGAAGTCAGGGGAAAGGTACCAGTTCCGTCTTTGTAAGATATGTAAGGGCCATCAGAAGTAAAAAGAAAAAAAAAATTCTACCACATATGTCAATCCCATGTGAGAACCTCTGTTTTAGTCCTATCATGTTTTTTGTGTCTTGGACTTCTCTGGCCATCCAGTGAAGCCTATGGTTTCTTAGGAAAAAAAAAATTCTCAGAATGTTGTTAATGCATAAAATAAAGAGGATTGATTACAGAGAAAACAAGAGGTTGTCCAATTAAAAATGTATATTTAGTTCCCATCCAAGTTCATGAACCTCTTGATACTTCTCTACAGACCCTTGAGGCATCCAGGTAGCCAAGCTTAAGAATACCTGAAATAAAAATTAAAAAAAGACCTTCCCAAATAGCTACCCTTTTCTTCCTCACTTCAAGTCCAAAAATCTATTATACTATGTGCACTCTCAAAATCAAGTAGAAAAAATAAAATAAAATAAAATATTAACTGCCAATATTAAATTAATTAATATAAATAATCAATAATTAATTACTTAAACTTTAAGGTTTACATAGTCCTTTATATACTTATCTTATTTGATCCTCACAACAACCCTTGGAGGTAGGTGTCATTATTCCCATTTTTATAGATAAGTAAACTGGAACTCAGAAAACTTAATTAATTGACTATGCAATGTTCACACACCAAATATGTTTGCAAGGCATCATTTAAACCCAGATAGTTCAGAATCCAAGGTCAACACTATATCTAGTACACCAGGCTTCATCTTCCATGAATCTATGGGAGAATTTTTTATTTGTTTTAAATGTCTTCAGTTGATCTACACGCTAGAGTGAACAGCTTGGGTTTGTGGTTGAAACTAATTGTAGGAAAACAAGTTTATTTAACCCAGTCACTCATAAACTAGATAATGAATAAACCAGAAGTGTTCATAGTTCACTTAAGAGCCATTTCATTTAAAAGGAAAGAAGCAAACTCAGAGACACTCAAAATTTTGTGTTTTGTTTTATTTTGTTTTGTACTGTCCTTTCACTGGCTTCATTTCACAATTCTTTTCCTCCTTTCAAGTTCCACATAGGATGTATTCTAGAAGTGAATAATAGCTTTTAATAAGTTATTAGGAATTGTGTAATTCATAGGTAACTGTAGACATTATTGGTTATCCTGATATCAAGTTTAGAAATGATTATATTGGAACAATATGAAAAAGGCTAAACTTATTGGAAAGCCTTTTTTTTTTTGCTTTTTTTTAAATTTTGTGCCACCTTTGTTGACCACTAAAAGAGTTTAATAAATTATAAGATAAGTAAAAACATAAAGCCAGGGAACTGGAATAACCAAATATTCCTTTTTCTTGTTGACCAAAATAATCTACTGTAATTTCTTTTCCATTTTTAATGATTGTAATTGAATTAAACATTATCAAGATAGTAATAGAAACATCTTATTGCTTCTAAGCCCCCTCATGAACTCTATTTTTTCTGGATTTTATTGAGGCTTTTATTTGTACATAGTTATCAGTGTATATATTAGTTGGTGTTAATCACTTCATGTCAGTTTTCTATTTTTTTGTGTACTTCGTATTTGTAATTTGTTATATTCTTCTTACTAATTTAAATACCAAATATATTTTGTCATTACTCAAACATTGGGCACAAGTTATTTCCAACTTTTTGATACTATGAATAATGTCCCTATGAATATTTTTGTGTAGATCAATCAACAATATTTTAGCACATAATCATAGTAGTGAGATCCTAGGGTTAAAGGATCTGAATAGTTTTTTGTTTTTAGATCAGTCACTGTTCTAGATACAGTGACAATACTTTACCAAAAAAAACTCAACAATTCACAGGTTCACCAACAATTTAACATTGTGGTTATTTCTCCCCTCAGTCCTGCTTTCACCATTTTACTGGATTGTCTTTACCATTTTAGTGGACATTTAGTGGTATCAATTAAAATAATTCTCAGTTTAATATCCATTTTTTATCATTAGGGAGTTTAATTTTTCAGGTAGTTATTGATAATCTATGTCCTTCAGAAAAGCACTTATTTGTTTATAGCAACAAGAGAAAGCTAATCTGTGTTTACGTAGGCAATACAAGCAAGTTCTAGATTTAGAGTCAATGCTTAACTTTAACTGATTTCCATGAAAGCTACAGAAGTGGCACATCTCTAAGGCAGGTAGTTTCTGATTATGACTTATAACTTTTTTTAAAAAAAACAAAAATAGTTATCTAGAATTCACATTACATATTTTCCTTAGCCACCTTTAAGATTAAAAAAAATCTCATTAAGTAGTCTCAGACACCATTAACCAACTCACAACTCTGCCATCAATGCATTAGAAGTCATGCTCATTTCTTCCACCAATCCCGGATGGAAAGTCAACATAAGATTTGCAAATCATAAGCTTATCCCCATAAGTAAAAATTTGGTGGTAGTTCATTTTGAAAAGACATCAACTATCCTAGAAGTGCTTATTAAGTTAATGCAGGTCAAAAGTCTCTGAGTGCCTGAGCAAACAAGGAGTTATAAAATTTTAATTACATTGCTGAAAACTCTACTGTCCAATAGAGAATATATATATATATATACATACATACATATACACACACATATATATATTCCATAGGTGTTTCTGTAAGCCCTTCTTGCATTATTTGTAAAATGCAAATTTCACAAAAATCATCCATATATAAAATTCATATTTTATTGAATTCTTGCTTTAAAAAAAACCACTGCTATACTACTTAATGTAAAGCAAAGAATTCTCATGCAGCACAAATGACCATCCCCACCATTATCCTTTTTTTATTTAGATTTTTCTTGTATCAGTTTTTCTTAAAGAAAAACATACCTATATTCAGTTTTTGCTGCTCATATAGCAAGCATCACCAATAACTTTAATCTAATATCTTGCTGACTAAAGAAAAATGAAAAAAAAAAGTTTTCAGGACTGTCATCTTTGAGTGACTTCATCTACACTTATTTTGATACACATATTTTCCATACTCACAAATATATATATCACATCATATTACATTATATTATACTATATCATATATAGAATTTGTGCAGTATCTGCTTTTGTCTCAACTCGATAACATATGTTCATCTAAAAACTTCAAAGACTAGAAAACTGAGGAGGAAAAGAGAACCTGAGAACACCACCAATAGTTATCTGCTTGTTCTCTGACCTTCCCAATTCCTATCCTAACTGGCTTCCCATCTGCTGGAAATTTAGAAAGATGTCATATTCTAGGCACTGACAATATCTGCTATCAAAGATCCTGGATAACTGTTCTCTACTCAGGATGTCAGTTCTGACAGAATTGTTATCCTTGTTCCTTTCCCTTTTTGTGCATTCAGTATCTCTTATCTTCTGCCTACACTCATGGTACTTGCCAGTTGAAGGATCATTGTTTCTCTAGTTATGAACAAGCAGGCTTGCTTTTATGCATTGTGACATTACTTTCCACTCACAAATAAGAAGAGAAGTGTGAAGAGAAGGAGGGAGAGGGAGAGGGAGAGGGAGAGAGGGAGGGAGGGAGAGACAGTGAATTTTACCCGTAAGAAGGAGAGATCACGGTTATGCTCGATGCTGGTTATCTCCAGGTTGCCCATGACTACCTCACAGTTTTCATAATATTTACGCAAGGCACGATATTGCTGTTCCAGGTCAGAGAGAGAGCTCAGTTTGTTTTCTGTTCCAGCACACACTGTAAAATAAATATACATAGGTGCATAAAGTCAAAGCCTTCTGAAAATCACAAACATTAAAAACAAACAAACAAAAAAAACCAGATTATGGTAGATTATAATTCACATTAGTATTCTGCCACTCAGTTAAGAACATGGCAGACAAACCCTGACTACTAACAGTGAGAAAAGCAATGGAATCCATGGGAAACTATAAGTGGAATTCAACCAAAAGTGAAATGTGTTACATATACTCAATAACAAACAATAACTAAATGTTATCCAATGTTAGAAGTAAAGATAATATGTGAGGGTGTGTTTATGCATTTATGTATAATACACACAAATTTGAGTAAGTATATATAGTCCTTACATTCAGGGAACTTATATTCTATAGGGAGGAATACAAAACATTTACAAAAAAAAAATACAAAATATATTGTGACAAGTATATGAGCCTTTTCAAAAATCACATTTTGCTATGCAACTTTTGTGCTTATTATGGAATCAAGTCAAATTTGATTCTGGCTGCAGTCTGTGTATCTGCTGTCTGAGGACCAGCTACGCAAAATGGAGAAAAGCTCACAATGAGAAAGTTAGGTACCATGCATTGATTTTTTTTTTAAACTATAGTAACTATGACATGGTGTATAATATAGACTCAGTGTGCCATTTTAGATAGTTAGCTGGCCTTGAGGCTAGTAATACCTTACTTCCAGACCTGCCTCTAACACATACTGGCTATGTGATTTGGAGCAATTTTTTTTCCTCTTGCTATAGAAAATTCTCTAAAACAAATATTCTTAAACCTTTTTTGTGTGTGTTATGAAATCATTTGGCAGTTTGGTGAGACCTATCCAAAATAAGGTTTTTGAATACATAAAAGAAATATAATTACAAAAGAAAACATTATATTGAAATATAGTTAATATATATTTTTAAAGTTCATAGATACCTGCTTTAAGACTATAAGTTACATAAAAGGTGTCAACCTGCATAGTTAGACTTTTCTCATTCTTGTATCCCTTATATTAACAAAATCACAAATTTGGTCCCTTTCTCTTACCCCCATCCAGTACCTCTCTCTAACCAAGGAAATGAAGAAAAATACACAATAGCCCATACGGCCCCATCTAGGACTACAGTGGCAAGAAATGGGATTCCAAGAACTGATACAAGAATAATAGTTATTCAGTTATATACAAAAATTAATTTAATTAATTGGTACTCTGTTTTTACCCAGTGATATCCATTGAAATTGCTGATATAAATAAAACCACAAGATAGAATTGTCTCATTCAAAGGAAAAGGAAACTCACAGAAAAGAATTTGACAGAGAAGTTTCATCATGGCAAAATGAAAACCTACTTCACGAGTTACACAACAATCTCATCTAGCCATGTTCATGAAGAACATATCAGGACAGTGTAAAGAAAAATGCCATTTCTGCATCAGCATCCTTTGCAAGAGATGAGTAAGTACAGAAATTCTCTGAAAATTTGACATGTTTCTATAAAATAGGTAAGCATATACCTTGATGCTTGGTGATTCCAATATGAATGTATGAACAGAGGAAGGTGTAGAAAAACTGTTGAAAAATATAGTTCCAGGTCAAGGAATAACAAGAAAAAGGTTTGAAAACAACATAGAAATCTCATACCTGCATAATGTGAATGCTACTTTAAAGAAGAGAGTGAGAAGACAGTGGATGGAACAAGCACCTCAACATAGCTCTTCTCTCCTTTCAAAATACAGCAATTAGATTGAACATATATTGTCAAACAGAATGATTGATTACTGAAACAGCTTTCATTTCAAGATTAGCCATGTATTGTAAAGGTCAAAATGTAAAACAAATTAGATGGGAGTTGCCAAATTACATCTCCTGAATTGAGATAAAATGTCTACTTTTGTACATACCACAAGCTAAGATTTTTTAAAATTTTAAATAGAACTTATTATATCAAAAAATGCATTGAAACCCATTCTTAGCTTTGTGTTTTAAAGTTAATTCATTTTCTTTAGGAGCAATAATAGAACAACAACATTTATACTGTATCATTTCAAGATATGACATAGTATGAAAAGAAGCAGGAGTAGCACCTAAGAAGATAAAATGACCAAAGTCAATCGACCTTACCCCAAAATGTAGAGAAGAAATTTATGACTGAATAAAAAACAGCTAAGTGATCAATTGAAAATATTTCAAAGATTACAAAATTATTAGAAAGACAAAATCAGATGGTTTTATCCTCTGAAGACTTAGATATCAGTAAGAACTGCAAATGAAGAGAAATTACAGATTTTATTATTTCTGTTAGTGGAAGAATACCTACACTGATAAAAATCTTACAGGCACAATTAAGAAGACATTACTTCCAGTTGGCAAAATTCATGAAAGAGTTGGGATTTTCAATGTGGTTTTGGATTTCACGTTTGAAATATCATGGACATAGATGGGGATGAAGGGCGTTCTACCCAAAAAGAATGGTGTGAGCCCAAGCATGGATTTAGGAACACAGTAAAGTATATAGATATACTGAGATTTACTTATAAAATGTTGATTAGTAGGCTACATACCTTTCACAAATTGCCTAGTTCTTTTCCAGTAGAATAACCTGATGTATATAATGATAATTATGAGATAAGGATGACAAATATAGTGTGTAAAAGAAAAAAAAATAAGGGGCTAAATGTGTTATGGGCACTATTTTCTCATTTGAATCACTTAAACCTATTCTAAAATTTCCACATAATAGAAGACAAAATGGTCATGTCATCTATTCTTTAATACTTGTACAGGATATGTTAATTTTTTAAACTGAGTTTCACTGACATCTTTTGTCTTTTAATACATTGATTTTTTTTCCTTCTAGCAAAAGAAAACACTTAAGCAAAACTATTGTGGATGACATAGGAATAATGAGACCTCAAAGTATCAAACATGTCTTGGGGCCAACAAGAGAGCCCCACCTGCATAGGCAGAGACTTCCCAAAATGAATTTACATGGGATTTTTATGTACTTAAACAACTAAGGAGAATGGAGGCTTAAGGCAAAATGATATTGGGAGGCTATGTTGCAAGAACTGGCTCAGTAGATAAGATACCTTGACCTAAATGACTAAACTGATTCCTAAAACCAGAGAACATTTGAAGTCTCACTGAATGGATGTTATCACACAAAATATTCTTATTGAGGTGTCATTGGGGTGGGCAGTATAGCAAGCTGAGCCTTTAATTGATGAGCTGATGCTTAACACAAGATGGAGGGAATTGTGCTCAGTTTGTGATCCATAATTCCAACATAATTGACTCACTTCCATGCCATATGTATATGTAGAATACTTCTAACTACTCTAATAATGATAAAGTTGTTAGAAGTTATACCTGTCATCTTCCCACATAAAAAGGTAAAAAGTTAAACCTTACTGAGTATGATTCCTCTTCCATGTTTGCCTTCTTAAACTTTTTTTGAGTCTTATATTTGAAATCCAAGTTTTCTATCAGCTCTTGTCCTTGTGTCAGTCCTCCATTTCATTAAATATCAATTTTTCTTTCCCCTGAAGGATTATACTGAATTTTTCTGGGTAGATTATTTTTGGTTGTAATACTAGCCACTTTGCCCTCCAGAATATCATATTCCAAATCCTTCACACCTCTAAAATAGAATCTGCCAAATCTTGTGTTATCTTGACAGTGGTTCTATGATATCTGAATGATTTCTTTCTTGCTGTTTGAAGTTTTTTCTTTATGACTAGGAGCTCTAGAATTTGGTTCTAATATTCATGGGAATTTTCATTTTGGAATCTCTTTCAGGTGTGAATTAGTAGATTCTTTCCATTTCTATTTTGCCCTCTGGTTCTAAGATATCAGGGCAGTTTTCCTTGATAGTTTCTTGGCAAACAATGTCGAGGCTTTTTCTTTGATCATGGCTTTTAGGTAGTCCAATAATTCTTTTTTTTAATTAATTTTTTTTTATTTATCAGCAATCACTTCCATATGCTTTTGAGTTTAAAATTTTTCTCCCCCTTCCACCCCACCAACCTCCCCAAGATGGCACACAATCTGATATAGGCTATACATACACATTCTTATTAAACATATTTTCACATTAGTGATATTGTAAGTAAAAATTAGAACCAATAGGAGGTACCACCAGAAAGGGGAAACAAAACTCAGCAGAAGAGAAAAAAAAATAGCAAATAGTATGTTTCGATCTGCATTCAAATTCCATAGTTCCTTCTTTGGATGTGGAGAGCATTTTCCATCATGAGGCCTTTGGAGATGTCTTAGATCCTTGTATTGCTGAGAAGGGTTAAGTTTATCAATATTAGTCATCACACAATGTGGCTGTTATTGTGTACAACGTTCTTCTGGTTCTACTCACTTCACTCACCATCAGACCATACAAGTCTTTCCAGGTTTTTCTGAAGTCAGCCTGTTCATCGTTTCTTATAGCACAATAAAATTCCGTTACATTCATATACCACAACTTGTTAAGCCATTCCCCAATTGATAGGCATCCTCTCAATTTCCAATTCTTTGCCACCACAAAAAGAGCTGCTATGAATATTTTTGTACATGTGAGTCCTTTTCCCATTTGTATGATCTCTTTGGGATATAGCCCTAGAAGTGCTATTGCTGGGTCAAAGGGTATGCACATTTTTATAGGCCTTTGGGTATAGTTCCAAATTGCTCGCCAGAACAGTTGGATCAGTTTACAAGTCCACAACAATGTATTACTGTTCCAGTTTTCCCACATCTCCAACATTTATCATTTTCCTGTTTTGTCATGTTAGCCAATCTGATAGGTATGATGTGGTACCTCAGAGTTGTTTTGATTTGCATTTCTCTAATCAATAATGATTCAGAGCATTTTTTCATATGACTATAGATGGCTTTAATTTCTTCATCTGAGAACTGCCTGATCATATCCTTTGACCATTTATCAATTAGGGAATGACTTGTATTCTTATAAATTTGACTTAATTCTCTATATATTTTAGAAATGAGACCCTTATCAGAGAGACTGGTTGTA